CCCTAAACTTTAAACCCCCAAAACCCTAAACCCTAAACTGAAACAGTTTAAGATAGTTTCTGGCTTTCGCAGTTTAATATGTACGCAACTGGGAGGATTTAGGGCTTTAGCCCGGGATAGCCCTGGACTGCCATCGTGTTGACGGCGCACGTGTTCTTTGCCAGATATTTGGGGCCTTTTTCAAGGTCCGAGGTTGCAGAAGCGTCCTTTAGATCAAGGTTTGCAACTGTACCTCTCGCCATGAACCCCCCCCCCCCCCCCAAACCCGAAACCCCAAAACCTAGACCCTAAACCCCTAAACCCCAAACCTGACACCCTAAAACCTAGACCCTAAACCCCTAAACCCCCAAACCCTAAACCCTAGACCCTAAACCCCTAAACCCCTACAACCTAAAACCCCAAACAAGAAACCCCTAAACCCTAAACCCTAAACCCTATACCCCTAAACCCTAAACCCTGAACCCTACACCCAACCCCGGGACCAAAGAGTTGCAGAGCAGAACCCCTGGAACTCTTAACCCGAAACCCAGGAGGCCAAACCGTGAACCTCATAAATCAGGGTTTAGGGTTTAGGGTTTTGGTTTAGGGCTGAGGGGTTTAGGGTCTCGGTTTTGGGGTTTAGGGTTTAGGGGTTTAGGGCGTTTAGGTTTAGGCAGTTTCGAACCTCTAGACCCTACACCCCAACAGCAAGCAAAAGCCAGCTTGGGGGCCTAGGTTCTGTGCCCACATATAGCCACCGCAACCGAAAGCCCTATCAACCCTTTCTAAACCCTAAACCCTGAACCCTAAAGCCCCGTCGACCCTAAGCCCTATTCCTACCCAGCTTCAGCTCGGGCCGTGCATTCGCATGAGAAGGGCCCATGTTCCGAACACTTCGACAACGCAAAATAGCCGGCATGGTTCCGCCAGTGGATTTCGCACTAACACCCAGAACACCAAACAGAGGAACAAATCAATCCAGCACAAGATAAAACCTTTCAAACCTCAAACAAGATACGAACAACGTGTTAATGATTCGCAGGCCAAAAACTATTGGGCCTGAAACTTAAGCCCCATTGCCCCTCAACCCTAAACCCTAAACCTTAACCTCAAGAAACCCTCCGAGAAAACCAACTTGCTCCCGTAAAGATAGCAAGCAGCATGCAAGTCACCCATCTACATACGAAACATCACAAAAAAGCGAGACCGTTGCACCCTAAACCCTAAACCCATGTGGTGCAACCCGAAACTACGAGTCCCTAAACCCTAAACCCTAAACCCTAACAGCCGCGTGACAGAGGATCCTCCACCCAAACAAAGTTCTGCTTCCCTCCGCAAAGCGCAGTGCTAAGGTCCTGCCCACAGAGGGTTTTGGGTGTAGGGTGTAGGGTTTAGGGTAGGCGTTAATATAGAGCTTTCCAGCAGTCTACAAGCATCATTTAATATGGGGCCTAAATCATTTGTCTTGCGGGTTCCCTGTCATTATTCTGGTATGACATACCTCAAAGAACCCTTTTATAATTATCAAAGACCCTTTAATCAACACAAACCCCTATACGCTACAGCTGTTGTTGAAGGTCGTCTCCCGGTTAGGAAGTTGTAGGGCTCAATACTTTGTGTTTAGAGTTAGGGCTTAGGGTTTAGGGTATAGGGCGAAATCTTGGTCCTAAGTTGGTACTTTTCTGCGGTTGGTTAATTTTGAAAGTCCGGGGCATGTGCATCAGATATGATACGAGATGAGGGTTCAGAGTCTAAAAAAAAATTGAGCTTCACCCTAAATAGACCCAGCTCGAAAACCTCAACCAGAAAAAACGACCCTTCAAACGCTTCTGTCCGTCAAACACCTCAAACCCTAAGCCCGAACGCCCCTCCCCCCAGAGGAATCGAACGCCATGGCTCCATCCCGTGTCCTCAGCAAACATGCCCTAGAACCTCACGTGGGAGTCCCCGGAAAACGTAAGGCTTGAGGTTTAGGGTTTAAGGTTTAGGGCAAGAGACCCTAGCAGAGACCCTTAAATGATAGGGTCACCTAAACCCTAAACCCTAAAGGGTTTAGGGTTTAGGATTTAGGGTTGTGAGCAGCCCCTTAGAGAACCGCTAAGGTTCTGAAAACCCCCTAATTACATCAGACTTCAAGACCCTAAACCCTAAATCACACTTCACGACAGGGTCGGCACATCGGTCCCGGATGTCTTGTAACCTCAGTTCGTCGGGCACTGGCATGTCGACTTTAGGGCTAGGATCCCGGATTCCCAAAGCATAAAAAGTTTAGGGTGTTTAGGGTTTAGGGTTTAGGGTTTTAGGGTTTCGGGTTTTAGGGTTAAGGGTTTAGGGTTTGAGGGTCATGAAAAATCAGAATAGGAGTCTGGGGTATACTATACTAGAGCTGCAAGAAGCGATCCCAAGGAAGAGTATCAATAGTCACCCAGACGCAAAAGCCTACACCCTAGAATGAAGGTTTAGGAGTTAGGGTGCAGGACTTATAGACTGCCGGGGTATTAACGGTTCAAGGAGCCTCGGGTCTAGAACAAAGCCATGGGTCTGCAATCTACTGCAGTCGCCTTTACATCGCATAGTATATTATACTATACTATATGATATACTTGTATAATATTACTAGTACTATTACCATTACTTTTTCTACTACCATTACTATTACTTTTTCTGTTACTATTACTATTGCTATTACTTTTACACCTATTACTATTACTATTACCATTACTATTACTATGGGATTACGATTACGATTACGATTACGATTACTACAACTACTACTACTACTACTACTGCTACTACTACTACTACTACTCCTCTACTACTACTACTACCTTCTACTACTACTACTACTACTACTACTGTCATTTATTTGGTTGCGTGTGTCTTCGCTGTACTGTCGCCTCCTAGTCTACCTCGTGACCTTTGTGGCCCCGCAGTGCTGACGCAGTCGTGCCAAGTGGGTGACAAAACTACTACTACTACCACTACCACTA